GCTTGTGATTATCCTACAGATAAAGAAAGACAGTAAATCAAATGACAGCTTAAGATAAGGAATTTGTAGTTAGTCTAGTTTTAGTTATACTGTACAGACAGGATGATGAATAGACAAAAACCATTTTTGAGTCATAAAATTCATAAAACAATGCACAATTCCATAATGTCACTTAGAAGTGGACCTTTTGGTATAACAAGGATGTCTTATAGTACTCAAAGTGTGACTGTTAATTTGAAACTGTTGAAGGGACTTCAGTATTAATGGTTTCTCACCCATAACGTAGTTTCAAAATATGAACCTGCATATATTATTATAATGAAGTTTCATTGTAACGTAGATCAAAGATGGAGATCAGTATTAGAAACCCATTTAACTTCCTAATATGCTTGACATAAAATCATTTATTCAGATCTTTAAATTTACTGTTGCAATCATGAAGAAATTACAGCAGATTACATTCAAGGAACGCTTGCTATAACAGGCAGGGCATGTAGTACAAGTAAAAGAGAGAAATGTATACAGAATTTTGATATTTAAATACCAACAAACTGAAACTGCATTCACAAAGAAATTATTGCATATTGCTTGCTAAATGGGTGGGAAATATAGACTGCATGACAGAGATGAGAAATTACAAAATTTTGGTTAGGAAGCCTGAAGGGAAGAGACCACTTGGGAGACCCAGGTGTCAGTGCGAGGATAACTTGACTCATGTCCTCCTTGTATTCTACATCTCTGCTGTAGTTATTGCTCATATTAATCATTTCTTATGTTTGTTTACAGGGCAGTGATATTTCGAACTTTGACTCACTATGAATGTGGTACCTGCTGGCTCAAACTCAAGTACTTTTGGTATCAGATATATATGTAACATATACCAAATCAAACCTTGGAATGACATTGCATTATGAGCATGATTTTTATTTAAAGTTAATTTGGTTCACAATTGCTATGCTATTATGAGGTGTCTTACACTTTATTGATAATTTGTTCACTATTTTGAGAGCAAATCATAACTTCATGAACAGACACGAAGTGTAACACCACAGATAAACTTATGGCAAATATTTGTTATGGTACTATGAATTTTAAGAGTTTACAGAAGAATGATTAAGAGTTTTATATATTTTCTTTTATGAGTGCATGAAAAACTTTACAAATATTTAATATAGATTATATATAAATAGAAACATAATCTGTTTATGAACATATTCTATCTTAAAAATTGACTGAACTAAAATATTCAAAAAATCACTGATAAAATCTCTCAAGATAACATAAACAACTGCAATGATTAGCAATTTTAAATTCAGATATATTTCACAGTTACATATAATTATTCTTGTAATAAGTATGGTGAGAAAGTGGCTTACTATGATGTACTTCTCAAAACTGTGTGTGTTCTGCAATTTGAATAACCTATATTATCATGTGATAACTTTGCAAATATAAATGCTCAAAGCTGCTGGATGAAAGGAATAATTTGAAGCTGGAGGAAAGAAACCAAACCATTTAGCATATTTATTTTCAAATTAACAAATGAGAGAAATGAAAGTACTGGTGTTGGCATTGTTACTATGCTGGTATTATTGCTATGTGAAAGGTTCCTGGTAAATGATGCACACTATCTATTTGGAGACTTATTGGCAAATATAGATTATGTTGGTATCACACACAAAGTCATTAAAATAATGGAAGAATGGATGTTAATTATATTATAATGAGAGTTTATACATACTATACTATTTAAGACACAGTAAATGGTGTAACTTATACAAACAAGAAGATTAAGTATTTTGAATATTAAGGAGAATGAAAAAGAGCCAGAATTGTAAATAAATAAAGATACCTTCTCCATATGTGGCAATGAGTAGGAGAAGAAATTTTTCAATGGTTAAAAAATCTATAGTATTAGGGTATAATGAACTACCTAGGAAAAAGGGCATAGTAATAATGCTATACAGTGAAATATGGTTATGATTAAAAAAGAAAATACACACGAATATACAAATATTAATTGAAATTAAAAATTTAAATTTAAGAAAACAACGAAGACTTGCTGAACTGAAAATAGTGTACAACTGCAATTATATTGTAGTCTATGTTCAACAATCAGGGTTTTGCTGAAACACTTCACCCAATTAATGTAAATAAAAATAACTTTATAAAGGTTGACATCTTAATAATTTATATGTATATTGTAGGTAGGAATAACTAAGAGAAATAAGCTGCTACAACTTTATTGTAAATATAATTCATCCAGTTCTAGCTCAAAGAAGAGAGTGTTTGTGATGTTTAAATTACATGCTTTGTTGAAGAGAAGTACTATTTTCTGTAGTTGAGTGCCAAAACAATTTTATAATCTAAACATGTCATTTTTAAATATCATAAGAGGTATGCTTAAAATCAGCTATGTGCAATTTATCAAATTTTACAAGCTTGTTTTCTGAATTATAGACTTGCCTCAGTGATTCCAAACATGTTATGACCACACAACACAAAATCAAGTGATGTACTGAACAAATACGTTTATTTTGTATCAGACATGAATAAATCAACTAACTATGTTCAAACTGCAGATATTGTTATTTTGGCAGTATATACATGCACAACCCATTCCCACAGCTGTCACTGAATCTGAAACACAGAATGTCCAATTAGCTGAAAAACTATCATAATATTTGGTTTGCGGATAATGTGTGTATGTCAATCTTAATTTTAATTATTGAATTTACTGAAAGGTTATAAAACTGATCATTGTCATACATACGAGGTGCGATCGGAAAGTTTCAAGACTGTGTCAATAGAGGGCGAACCGGATGTATTACGAGCTTCTGCCTTTAGGGGGTGCGGCCTACATTCATAGTGAATCAGTGTGCCAGCCGGCATCATCGAATTATCATTTGTTTCTTGGTTACGGGCGTTTTGGTAGTGCATTACACCGACCCTCCTGCGATTTCGGAATGGCGTGTGTGTATCAAATTTTGCCAAAGACTCGCCAAAACCGCTACGGAAACCTATGAAATGCTAAAGCAAGCATTTGGGGAGTCCGCAATGGGTCGTGCACAAACTTTTGTGTGGCATCCACGTTTTAAAAATGGCCGAACCTCTGTCGATGATGACGAGCGTTCTGGACGTCCATCTTCGAGCACAACGCCCGAAAATGTTACGAAGATTCGGCAGGCCATTCACGAAGATCGACGTCGTACCATCAACGACTTGTGCGACATTGTTGGGATAGGTTGCGTGAAGATGTGAGACGGAAGCGGCCGGCAAAGTGGCGCAACCACAACTGGCTGCTGCATCATGACAACGCGCCAGCGCACACCGCCCTCCAAGTTCGGCAGTTTTTGGCCTCAAACACCATGGCCGTCATCCCGCCCCCTCCTTAGCTCCGTGGGACTTCTTCCTCTTCCCAAAGAGGAAAATTCAGCTAAAGGGAAGGAGATTTGAGACGATAGAAGAGATTCAGGCAGAATCGCAGATGGTGCTTGACAGGCTGACAAAGAAAGATTTTCAGGGATGCTTCCAGGCTTGGCAGCGGCGCCGGGATCGTTGTGTTCACTCCCAGGGGAACTACTTCGAGGGTGGTGGATGAATTTAATACCTGAGATAAGTGTACGGGTTTTTACACGCGCAGTCTGGAAACCTTTCGATCGCACCTCGTACAACATAGGCTCTGCCAGGTATTACAGTCCTGGCACCTATGGTGAAGTTTAAGTACAACAGAGGAATAAGAGCTGTATTGTTAGAAGAAAAAGGTAAGGCACTGCTACTACAGAATTTGACACATTCATAGCTCCTCCATGACAAATCATTTAAAGCCCAGTAACTATATATAATTCTGAATTTTGCCCACAGGACATTTTTATATGATTCTCAGAATAAACGATGATTATCTCCTTCATTAGTAATGAAGATATGTTCAAGATGAGCTTCAGTTTCTAAGGCATAATTCTTGATCTTTGTAGACAAAAGTCCATGGCACATTCATTTTATACCACCTATACCTCCATGCTTCTTCCTCATAATCTTTACACTTATGTATCTATGAATGCATGAGACACATCCCTGACACTATGTTGGTCTAGTAACATGGTACCAGACTCAGTTTGGAACAGATTAGAGCTTTGTTTATTATAACTCTGTAGAAAATATTTTGCTTTAGGAAGAAAAAGCTACAGAAGTATCACTGTAACCTACATAATTGGATTTTGGGTCATTAGATCAAGATTAACATTCTAAGCTACTGAATATAAAATAATGTTCGTAACTTGGAACTCAAATAATTGAACACATTTACCTTCCTACATTCAATAACTGTACATTGAACTGTATTTCTTGCATTCCTTTCAACAGACTATAATGGAAGTTTATGTATACAGAAAAATTAATAAATTTTTCAGTTGTACATCGCTTGATTATCATAGCCTCCACTGCAGTCCTATGTATCCAAACAAGTCTGCTGATTAGGTCCTGGCTTGTTACTCTACAACAGTGATGCGCAACCGGTGTGCTATGGAGGCCATCTAGGCATGCCATGAAATCTTCACCTCATATTGCCTGTCTTCAATTTCACCATGTATCGACCTTATTTGCTCAAAAAAACAGGCACAAGTATCACAATGATTATCAAGTGACAATGGATAAATTTTGTGAAACTAGTACTACTACTGCAATATATAGTCCCTAAAATAAATATTCATTTATTCCTTATACGAGGGTTACTTCAAAAGTCATGGCAACTAATTTTTGGGAGGCAAACACGTTATATTGAAGAAAGTTCAAAATATACATATGAAAGGGCACGATATACTCCTCCAATTGCAGTAGTCAGATCAGGTAGGTGTGAATGGGTGTAGGTACAGTAGGCAAGAAAAAAGGCACATTACGGAATGACCGTTTTTTTTCATTCTTTAATCCTCAAAAAATTCAATTGTGATTAAAAAAATACAAAAATTCAATGTGAGTTAAATCAGAATTCTTACATTAAGACTAGCAACCTTCAAAGTAGTCTCCGAGTGTATCAAGTACTCGATGCCAACGAGGAGGAAGACAGCGAATACCATCAGCTTCACCATCTCCAAATCTTGCCATCTCGCGCCGAACTGCGTCGGAAATGTCCCCTTGCGTTTCCCTCACAATGGCATTAGGAAGGAATAAACGTCCTGAACTGCTTCACAATGTCATCGTCCTTCATGACAATGCAACCGCCCACACAGCAGTGTCAAGAACCTTTTACGACGTCAGAGATGGGAAGTACTACAACATCCTCCATATTCACCCGACCCTTCGACATGTGACTATGACTTAATACCCAAATTGAAACAGCCACTGCGAGGGAAACGCTTTTGTACATGAGATGGCAAGATTTGGAGATGGTGCAGCTGATGGTATTCGCAGTCTTCCTCATCGTTGGCAGCGAGTACTTGATACACTCGGAGACTACTTCGAAGAATTCTGATTTAACTCACATTGAATTTTTTTTGATCACAATTGAATTTTTCAAGGATTAAAGAATGAAAAAAACGGTCAATCCGTAACGTGCCTTTTTTCTTGCCTACTATACCTGCACCCATTCACACCTACCTGATCTGACTATGCCAATTGGAGGAGTATATCGTGCCCTTTCATATGTATATTTTGAACTTTCTTCAATATAATGTATTTGCCCCCAAAAAATTAGTTGCCATGACTTTTGAAGTAACCCTCGCACATCCCAATGAAATTAAACCTATAAGACAAATGAAAGGAATTCACAACCACCTCATGTTTCTTCTAAAACAAGTTGAAGACTTCACTGTATTGAAGGATTTTATTAGTACCTCACATACAATGTTTTCAGAACAATATGTATCTTAAACACTGCTCTGTCAGATGAGACATGTAATGTGAAACAGAATACGTAAATAAAAAGGTACACTGAATAACTTGCACAACTAACGGTTTCCACAAAATTTACCTAACTAGGAGAGGGGAGTCTTTCTCTTTAATTTCACAGACTAAAATGGGGACCAGCTGTAATTTCAAACTGTTGGGTAAACAGAAACCATCTGAACAGGAAAGAAAGAATTCCCTCCCATATATATTGAAAATACATACACCCAAGCAACTGTGAAATCAGGAAAAAGAAGAAACTGACTTTTAGGCAAGGCAGACTGAAGTAGGTCATGTTATGCATCAATGTACAAGACCCGCTCCTTCATTCAAGTATTGTGTATAATATGAAATATTACAATTTTGGTTACCCCCATTTTAACATACACATTATACATTCCAATACTGCTCAATGTTCCTACCATGTTACCTCCCATGTTGTCCATAATAAATGTAAATCCACACTATAATCTTGTTTTACCTTGGTGTAAAAACTTAGTTTATAAATTCTATTTGTGCTTGTAAATCTATATTTATCTGACAGAACTGCACTATACACCCAATATCCTTTTTTAAATTAAATTATTCTTACAGATGAAGCACTGAAATGGATCAGTAGTAGTATATTTATGTTAACTCATACATGGAATTATTACTTCATACTGCCAGTCAGGATTTATGGCATAATATAGTATCAAGAGAATTGAACAAATGAAAAAACTAGTGATAATTCCGTTTGAATGTGAAATTCTTGTTTTCTCAGCTTATAATGTTGGTGACTAAAAACTGGGCCATTTCTGATGATGCGATAATATAAAGAATAAACAATAAATTGTCATTCCAGTTGCACCTGGATTTTCATCCTCTTTAAAAAATGTAATGACACAAACGCCAGAAAAGTATCTTGTAACCCATTCACACACACCTGATATAGTAATGATCACATGCAAAATTCATAGCGCGGAAAAATGTTCGCCTGCCTTACGTGCAGAGGTCATTCCTTAACATGAATTTAACCTTGGAATAATATTCTGATGAAAATGTCTCTACATACTGTACTCATATCCCTGTTCATGAAATCATCTGGAAATGTGATGGAATGACAATTGTACAGCAGACCTTCATTATACAAAGAGTATCCAAGGACAGATTCAACACCCGAGTTAAATGCAAAAACATTTATCTAATTTACTGTCTTGGGAACATGATTACATCCATGGTGCATCTGATCCCATGGTATAATGAGGGTCTACTGTATTTGCTGTTAAAGGTGAGAACCAACTTAGAGATGAAAACAAAATTATAATTTGACAAATGTGGTGTCAAGTATCAAAAAGGTAGGCTGTTTATTTAGGAAACAAGGAAATAAAAGTGAGTTTTTCTTCTGGGATGTGATGCCACATGGACTAATGGGGTAGATACTAATGCTTCTCCAAAATGTTCATATCTATCCATGAATCCATACAGCATCATAACCCATAAGAACATCATCTTCACTGAAGAGAGAACCTCAAATCTCAGACGGAAATAAAACATCTATTTTCTCTTTCATCTGTAGCAGTAAAAGACTTAAGCAAGTATTCTGATCAGAGTTTATATTAACAAATCTGCAATACAACTTTGAACATATTTACAAAATAATTACAACCTATTTATAGGACATCATTCTTTTTGAATAACTGTATGGGGTTATCCCTAGCAAAAAACTTTGGCCTGAATTTGATGTTGAATGGAATAATGAACAACTATGAACCAACAAACTGGCATGATAAAGGTAGTAAAAGTTTCAATATAAGAAATAAAAGATACACAAGTCTTTACACCATGTAGCATCCTTTTCAACTTCTGATAATTTTTTCAAAATTTTCAGAACTTCAACTTATCTCCAGAAACAATTTTCAATGAGGGAAAATACTGTCCTGCTGTTTACTGTAGAGAATGCAATCAGGTTCAATTATCACAAGTAATGGGTTGTTGCTACACTAATAAAAGCTGCAAATGGTTTACATTGGCTGTCCACTGGCAAACAAACTGCTGGCTTATTGTTCTGTCTTGAAGAAAATGTGGCAGGAATTCTGTTGATGAATATAGTATGGACGGATTTTGCTTGTAACACCTGTACATTTACTGAGATAACCCCCTTCCAAATGCAGAACCATATTCATTGTATAGGTTACATGTAACAGTGTAAATGGATTTGTAAAACAAAACACGGATCAGATTACATACTTTTCACTTTTATTAAAGAGATTGTTAAGAAGAATAAACCCAAATATGTTGGCCACAAAGGTACAGTGAGGCCTTGTTATTTTTCAAACTAAGTTTAAAATCAACTCTCTCATACTAACACGCCTACTTTGTTACTCTTTTCTGTTTCATCCTGCGAAATAACATCATTACTATTCAGAACAATAAAAATAAGTGATTTACATTTATGCATAATTACATCCTTCCTGAAAGAACAGAACAGCAAGTAAAATACAAGCCAGATTCTTCCTGTAAACTTGGCATGCATTTAATTAAATGACTACAACAAAATATGAGGTCTGCCAGTGACTTAAGGTACTCCAAAAACACTAACTGTTTCTACTCTGACTGGCAACAGTGTTCCAAGCATCTTCTAGGCAAATCAACTGGATCAACCCCGCACACGGCATTTTGAACAAAATAACAGTCATGCCGCACACCACTAGTACCTTTTTACAAACCACACAACACTGTCACATCACTATCTGACACACATGCACTCTGGTAAACACACCCAATTTATTCATAAACAGGTACTCCTAAAAATTCCCAGACAAAATCCAAACTGAAGGCTACAATTGTTACATGTACACTTCACCAAACAAGATTCAAACAAAACTTAAAACAAACAAGAATTATCCACACATCAACATCCCTTAACTAATAACAGGAAGATTGTTTCTTAAATTCATGTTTTGAAAAGTTTGTCAGAAGGACCAAAAGTGGAAAGAGAATGGAATATCTTCTCGACACACACAATCAGCAGGCATTATACAACCTGCTAAATGGAACACACTATAAAAGCTTCTCCTGATGTTCAAAGAAAAGTCTGTATTTTATAGCATCTTGAAAAGGAAAGATTTTCCTGATAAACAATGAAGCCAAATTTCCTCAATTTGATCTGTGAACTACATTCAAGGAAGATGCAACAAGAAATTTGATAGGTATAATCCAACAAACATCATAAGTTTTATTTATTTAGACCAATGTAATTAATAAGGATGACCAGAATACAAGGCGGTAAAATAAATATGGACCACAGAAGCCAAAGCAGGTAATATGGATTCAAATTGAAGAAGTCCCTGTATTTGTTGGTAATTCACATGTTGAAGGAGACCAGTCACACAAACCATTTACTAAACTGCTTCTCATGTTGGGGGTGGGGGCTAAGAAAAATCTGAAGATGTACAAAAAATTTAGTTTCATGGCCACTTACAGCTTTCAACTTCTTCCACACTACAATTCATACTTCATGTGTGACAAATCTCTTTGCAGGTTTTGGCTCATGTTGGAAAACTCTTTAAGCCGTTATACAAGAATACTGCAAGAATGGGGAAGGGATACAGAATCTTTGTGTACTTAATTTAAGATAATAAACCTGCAAAACACACTTCTCTATTCTCTAGTAGCCAAGACACCAATTTTAATGATGAGCAATCTTTTTACCATTCCTTCACAAAGAAGTCTCTAGAAATTGATATGAAACAGGGAAAAACCAACTTTAGCTAAATGACACACACATATATATATATATAATGGGTCGGGTAAGCTGTAAGAACTGGGACTACATTTTACAGACCAATATGAGTGATGCAACATAATTAGCATATGGTAAACACTGAAAACAACTTTATACCTTTTTATTCCTCAATATTTACTATTAAGTTCTTAAAATCAATGTAAGTCTTTGTAAAGGCATTTGTCTACTAAAAAAAGTTAAATAAAACATCATTTAAGCATGTTTCTAGGTACCCAATGCCCAAACCTATGCACATTGCACATGCTCCAATATCGAAGCTCAAAAAGAAGAGCATGGTCAAACCAACAACACGCAACTACGCAAAGACAGCTTCCTAAAATCGGAGGACTGAGTCGCAGTTCTGACTATGTAATGCCACAAATAAGTCACTTCCTTCCTGTGGGTAATGGGCTATGGGGTGCAACGCACAGCCAAAACTACAGGGTAGTGTCCATTGGCTTAACACAATCTGTTCACAGTCTCTCTTCCTTACAGCTTTTCTGCAAGAAAAACTTTAATTTCATTCATAAACGTGTGGTACTTATTTTCATGACCTAAACTAGATTATAACAAAGCAAATAAAAAAAGCCACTTTCTTCTTACATATATTTAAAAGTCTCAAACTCAACTATGTTCCATTAACTGTAGTTCCTCAGTGTGCCATTGGTTTTGTCCATCAAAAAATATTGGCAACGACAACCACGTATCGACGGTACTCGCCATAAGTCTTGTAGGAAGTGGTATTTCTTGATTTTTGATCACAAAATGGCACAACTTCTTCTTACATTGTTATATTCATTCCTGCAGTCAGCTGCCAGTGCAATTCAGAACAAACATAACTTGTTGAGTGACCTCAATAGCTATTTGATCCCTAATCACTTCTATTACTAGGCACAACAGGTTCAAATTTTCTGAATCTTCTCGCCCACTACAACTGGATTGTTGCGACGAATCTCTTGGGCTCCCATCTCTCGGTAGTCAAAGGTGCAATTGTGCTTGTCACTGTATCGGTGGACCGCGCAGAACAAGCCTCCGCATCGACACTCGAATCCTGCAAGTAGGTATCAGATATGAACGAGGGAACAAAAAAACACAAGCTCTTTACTATACAGAGGGACGAATGACAAAGAAATGTAATAATAATAATAATAAAAAGCAACAAGAAATTTGAAACTGTGAGGTGTGTGTGTATGATAAAGATGAAGGTAATGACAAATGACACGCACCAGTTAAGCCAACCTTCTTCCGGCACACTGCACAGCGATTCTTCTTTTTCTTCCCTTCTTTATCGGAGTCCTTCCCGTCAAAACTATCGTCGACGTCTCCGCTGCTCACAGAACTTTCGGCACTGCTACCTCCTCCTCCGCCTCCCCCGCCTCCAACGGCACCCTCTCCATCCACACTCTGCAATGAAGCAAAACTTCTCAAACACATGAAAAATGTATCAAAAGCACTGAAATTGATAGCAACACACAGCAGTCACTTTAAAAACATTAACTTTATTTTTCAGCTAAAGAAGTTCCTCAGTCCACAACTGAAATTAAATGAGCCGAGACAGCTTAGTCAGTATATTGACTGGGTACGAGATGCACGAGTTGGGCTTGAGCCCCAGGGGCAAGGACTCTTCTCTTCACTACATCCAGACTTGTTCTTTAGCCCAACCAACATATGAAATGGGCAGTGAAAGTTCATTTCCCAAGCGGTAAATCATCCATAGCATAAAACTGACCACTCACTTCCATCCACTGCCGATGTTAACGAGGAAAAGTATAAATAGTATAATTATGGCATGTTCACATGTAGCTCTCCATATAAAATGCCCTCCTTGTTTGAACAGAACCTAGAAATGTCTATAAATTATCACCAACATAAAAGTCATTCAACAGTTGTTACATGCGGATGAACAGGGATAGGGTGAAGGTAATAACCACATTTTCAAGAGAATTATACACACATTGCATATAACTACCGTTTGTTACATCAGTTTGATTCTGATATCATTACAAATATCACTATTGACTATTCAAGATTCTACAGTAGCGCATGTCTACAATTCTGTGAAAAGATAAGCTGTAGGAGATCCTAAAACATATACTGAATGATTCTCAGGGTGATGTAAAATTTGGTATCAAGACAAACATACTGGTAACTCACATCTTTCATAAGGTCGGTGGTTGATGTGGGTGGCACAATGACTGGTATGGTGGGCAGAGCAGTATCAATACTGCTTGGTGCCACTGGTACAGAACTGGGACCAGTGGTGGATACGAAGTTTGTAGCTGAACCACCGCCGCTGCCTGTGCTGCTAGGTGTTGTGTTGGGCGGCTGCTGTTTCTTCTTCAGTGCCTCCTTGTAACACAATGAACACAGTCCATCTGTTGCTGGTGAGCCATAAAACCCACAGCCCGAACGGCACATTGCCTGCATCGGGTTTGACTCACGTTCCATCTTAACTTCTGTTTCCTCCAGACAGCGACGGGGTAAATCACGCACAGGAACAAATAATTGCAGATACCTAGTCAGTACCCCGTCAGGAATGGGTCACCTTAAACAATTAAGAAAAAAACTCACTTTAGCATGATTAATTCAACTAATGAACAAGACACTTGCACATCTACTGTTCGTGACTGTACTCGAGACTTGCAAGGATTGCAGGAAGTCCGAAGTGTTAAAGGCTACTGCATAGCAGATGCTATCATTCCTCCTTCACCTCACTTCCTCACCCTGCAAGTCTCAAGATTACAGTCGCGAACGGGTAACTGCAATTTTAATACCAGAAAATCGGCGATTGAAAAGAGTTCAACCAAAGTCAGGAATTCCTTCATAATAAAATGTAACAATTTCAGTAACACACGCACGTGTCAGCCCTTGAACTTTTGACGACTACCGACTCCCAGATTCCACTCCTGATTATACACACATGGAAGGCCCGTTTGTGGACGAGTATGTCGAAGGCCCAGGGCCCCACGTGGGAATCCCACGGGCTCCCACAATAACTTTTTCATTACAAGAGAAAAATTACAGAAATAAGAGTTAAATATGTAAATAATGACAAAATTAATGGTGTTTAAATATATGACAATAGGGAGGCATCGCCGTATCCTAGTCAATTCCAAAGCCCACGTCTAGCCAAAGTAGTAGCCGTAGAATCCGGTGATGGCGGCGTCGGGTCCTGATAAATCTGTGCGAGTCGTATCGACCATGGTGAGGATGGTTCCTCAGGTCTTGCACGTCCTGGCTGCTCTGTTTTGGCGCATGGTCTCTCATTGTTACTTGGTCCTACCTCGCGCCTCAGGAAGCCGCTGGGACGGCCTGGGCTGAGGTTGGTAACCATTGCATTAGTCGGCTGGAACGTCGAAGTACTCGTCCGCACCTTGCTGATCACAGTACAAGGCAGCGGGCTGGCCTTCGGCTGTGACTAGACCGAGCAGCCTCGTGCGTTGTGCTTTATCCCGTCGAGCGATATGGGAGCTCCGGACAGTGAGCTGCGAGAACGAGAAGGTGTGTAATGATAGTTGCTTGGTATTGCAGCGAGTTCTGGTCCTGTGGGGCCGGAATCAAAGAAGTCGGCCCATTCTAGAGGATCTTCTGTTACAGAGTTACCGACTCTCACAAGTTTTCACCTTGCAAACGCAATGCAACTATTCCACAAGAAAATAATTCGTGTGCAACACAACTTCCGTTTTCTGACCAGTATCTCTTTCATTATGATGGACTGTTTTCACCTGTGGGTCGCGAGAATTTATTGCGTGAAGTTTAATTACAATGAAATGCATCTTGTAAAACTTATCTGAAAAATAACTTCCGTTCAGAGCAACAACAAATAGTTGTTTCACGAAAACCATGCAGCCAACACGTTTCTGGCGTTGAGTCTTTCGTAAAAATACTTCTTCGCTGACCCGTTTCTAAATAAATGCAATTTCCAACTGCGGTTTCATGCGTCCGTTCTGTTCCAATCAGAAATTTATCACAGCCGCCAACTTTACGAACAGCCACCGTGCTAAGTACGTATTTGTATCGCTCACGAGGCCAACACGTGCTAAACGATAAAAACAGAAGAATAGAAGCAAACAACTTGTCACAGCATCCCCGCACCGCCCAGCGGTCGGGTATCGTAACTAGGAGCGCTGATTACTGTAGCATATATACAGAACGCCACAATGTATGATACCTGCAAACTGGAAATAAGCTTTTACGCCCATGAATACTAAAGTTCGCTACACTGCGTATGTGGGGACATCGGGAACTCTAGGTGCATTTCATTATCGTTCCGACTAACTACAATCAAGCTGTAAAATTTATTTCATGCAAATATAACAAAGAATTGTAATTCCAAATCCAGAACTTAGCGAAGATAAAAAACATACATGCCATTGTTTGTGTAATTAATGTGGGGTTGTACTGCTTCCCTTTAATGCAAAACACGTCCTTAATCCCAACCACTTGTCAACAAATCAGTATTCCACGTCCTGCTCTCCCGCCTTTTCATCACCCACCGTTAAAGAAATGACCATTAGCCTGAGACCCCTTCCTTTTAATACAACCCACCGTGGCTACGATTTCCAACAACTTGGGGCACCGGGTCCAAATTTAATGAACCACGTAATAAATTCGAGCGACGAGAAGACTACTTCAACAAAAATAGTGACCTCCTCGTACGGCGTCGCATTATTGAAACTGATAAACGTATTCACACTGCAGAATATTTCTTTGGAAGCGAGCATCCTGTACGGCAGATACTTCACTTCCATTGCCTAAATAGTTAGTTACTCGGTTCATAACAAAACCAAAAAATAAAATAAAAAATGTTGAATCTAGGGGAATAACTGGAAGGTTTTAAGAATTAATAGACTGAATTTTCATATTTAAAAATTTGCTGGGCAGTGATTATTGTTTAACCCAGAAGTATAATGTTCCTTGCTTGAATGACAGACAGTTCAAAACCTAACTGACCAGAAAATATCAACAATCTGCGTAATTCGGGCGACGCGCACAACATGAAGATCAAAACTGCAATGCCGGGACCTCGGGATTTTAGTGTACGGAAAATTGAGTTAATTTTTACTTTCCTTGTATGTACACTTCAAAACACACAAGCCATTTAGCGTGTTTTCATATATATTAAGTACAAAATATTGTACTGCTTACATAAAATCAAATGTGCGAACGTTTTAATTTCAATAACCCTGGAGCAACTGCTCAAAACAATTCTTTTTCAGTTTGCTGCCATTGCACTTGCAGAAGACGGCAATGCCATCTTCTTAAACAAAAGAAGCAGTGCAGTAGCCCTGTACCCTTGGCATCGAAAGGGAAAGTGAGACGTTAGTCTGGCTGGGGCATGAAACAAATATTTTCGGACCTTGAAAATGTAATATTCAAACGACATATTCGACATTAACATTGAGCTGTTTACCCCTCTAGATAATCACCTACACCAAATGCTGACTATCGATGAGGTGGGGGCAATACAATACTTCCCCTGCACGCACGCGCACTCAACATACACGGGTTTGCAATACAGCCCGACACGGAGCAATCTCCACGGGTTATTGCATGGCCGCAGTAAGAAACCGACGTCCACGTACATGAAGTTTCAAGGAAATGGAGATTTAACTGCACTCTAAATACAGCAGCTGTTTATGCATCAAACTGTTCCAAAACTTCAACAGTGCTTTTTGAATTGCCAAAGGTTCACAAAAACCCAACCAGGCAAAAAAGCATGCTGGTATTGCACTTCCACGATGCAGCATATAAAATAATTACCAAGTAATAATCGTCTAAACGAATACAAAGAAAATCCGTTTTACACTGACGGCAATTTATCATGACATGGAAGATAATAAAAATGTTTATACACAAGGGGTCCTACACATTTAAGTTTCTTGTAAGAAGTTCCACTAAAGTACACGTAGTAAAAAAAAAATTCAGAACACTGTAAAACAGACAGAATTACCCCACTTAAAAATCCAATGTCTATGGAATGCGTTAGACTTCAGTTACGATATGTTTTTAACTAGTAGTTAACTTACATGGGATTCATTACTGCCAGTATCGTAGACAAAAGGCTGAAGTAGTAGTTCACTTTTACGTTTCACTGTAAATTCAGGGCCATATCTCGGAGAACACCACTGACTGCACATTTAATCTCTTTGCATTCGATTAATATGGTTAGGAAAACAATAAAATTATCTCAAATTAATTTTTAAATATGAGTGGACTACAATGGGGCATTACTGTATGACTAATGCACACAATACGACACAGATGAAATTATCTGGCGAACCCAGGAGCCTGTCTGTATTCACATCGCAAAAACTTCAATTCACAATAACATTTTCTAATGAATGAAACAATCCGCTGTACCACAAAGAAATAGACGAGTGTCCATTCTCAATGTCTTGAAGGTCTGAATGTAATTTTTAATGATAATGTAATCCTACCAACACGGGTTTGAGCATGCAACAAATGGTGGTACGAAGACATCTGGGCGACTATGCGAGGCACATTAAAAAAAGTTTGATGACTCTAATGTATTTTGGGCACGCATCATCACACCCTGCGTGGCCCCGAACACATACAGAAATACATGCTAATACTTTTATCAACTTTTTATAAGCAGCCTACACATACCTGATGACAACCATAATTCTGCAGTCTCAAAACTAGACTAATTCCATTATGTTGCTCAGCAAACACTTGCCACAAAAACTGTTTAGTAATTCACCAAACAATAGAACAATACCACGAGCTGCACAGAAGTGCGCATCACTTCTCGATTTCTGAACGTACTGAGTCAGCCATGATCGGAAGTTCCGCCAACTACCCTCCCTACAAGCCGTGCAGCTACGACTGCAAACACGTCATTTGACTGACGAAGCAAATGTCCACCTCCCAGTGCAGTGACGCCAACAAAACAGAATGAACATAGCAGAACTCCACTCGCAAACACATTATACACACGTGATGAAACGTCTCACGTGACCGAGAACCGACTAGAAAATTAGGCAGGTGTGTGGATTTCTCTGTCTTCCACAAGGTCCACTCGGACATTCTACCACATGTGTACCGACGGTAAAGCGTTCGTAGCATAAAACTGAACACTCACCTCCACGTGGAGTACAGGTTAAATTATCGGGTGGTTAATCACCACTATAAAAAGGACTACTTATGGTGTGCTTCTTTTATTACAAGGAGAAAATTATTAGGCCTTCTTTGCAGCTGCTTTATACACGATGATATCGCCGTTCTCATTGTCACCTGTAAGTTTCATGGACATTCTACATTTTGGGGAGTGGGGAAATGAAAGAGGGGTGGGGGTTTGCGGGTGGAGTTGTGCTTTAAAAGTTAAGGCCCTTTTGCTCATAATACTTCATATCTACTGAAATGAACACCGAACAAAGGAAAATTAAGAGATGTTCTTCAAGGGAGTTCTCGTTATTACCGCATGTCTCCGCATTAAAACAACTTCCGTTAATTACAGATAAACATATTGGTTTTCGCAACGTTCCGGCAAAATACGTGTTTTGTGTTATTTTCAAGACAAAT